GACTAGTTACGTCCCCGTTCATACCATACCTGGTGCCGCAAAGACCGAATAACAGTCCACCATGGATAACTAAAACGGTCAGGAAACTCCTTAGAAAAAGGAAGAATCACTGAAATATGTTCATCTCTACTGGCTTAGAACAATATAGATCCAGTTATTGTAAGATTAGGAATGCCTGTAAAGCGTTAATAAGCAAGACTAGACATTCATACGAAAAACAATTGGTTAGGGATTCTAGATATAGTCCGAAACGGTTATCCTCGTATATAAAAAGGCGAAGTAAGAGAAGCGATGGAATTCCATCACTTTTGATACGAGACAATCCGTTAATCCGTTAAGCTGATGCTCTATCGGAATATTTTAGTAAAGTGTTTTCTATCGGTAATGAGGAACGACCAACGATTCATCGCGACCGTGACGGCTCGCTGATGGATCCTGTAGTCGTTGAGAAAGATACTGTTTTAAGGCTACTTCAGCATCTCAAACCTGATAAGTCCAGTGGTCCTGAAGATATTCATCCTAGGATTATGAAAGCCATATCAGATGAAATTGCTGAACCATTAGCGATACTATTCGACATGTCTCTGAGGCAGTCCAGACGTCCTAGAGACTGGAAAGGCGCCATAATAAGTCCGGTGTATAAGGCTGGGAGTAGGGATTTAGTTAGTAACTATAGACCCGTTAGCTTAACTAGTGCAGTTGTGAAACTGATGGAGAAAATCATTCGGATAGCTGTTATAAACTATGTTGAAGGGCAAAATCTTTTCTCCAGGGCACAACATGGTTTTCGGAAAGGCCTATCTTGCTTGACAAACCTTCTCATTGCACGAGAAGAGTGGGCTGCGGCAAAGGATCGGAATGCTCCTGTGGATGTGATTTTCATAGATCTAAGTAAAGCCTTTGATAAGGTTTCCCACTCTGGCCTCAATTTCAAACTGGAACGTTTTGGAATCCATTGTACAGTCGTCGATTTGATAAGTAACTTCCTCCATGACAGGAGACAAAGGGTAAGGGTTAATGGGGCTCTTTCCTCGTGGGTACCCGTAAAAAGTGGGGTTCCCCAAGGTACAATCTTAGGTCCTCTTCTCTTTTTACTTTATGTAAATGAATTGTCAACTGTAGCAAAATCATCCGTTCTACTCTTCGCTGATGAAATAAAGATTTGGAGACCCATACATAGTATGTCGGATAGGATATTAATACAGAATGTTCTTAGCTCATTGGTGGCATAGTTGGACAGGTGGTCACTAGAAGTAAGTCCTAATAAGAGTTTAGTGATGCAAATAATAATGTCACTATACAATATGTGGATTCGTCCTACCCAAAGTAAGAAACTATGAAGATTTAGGAGTCATATTAAGCAATGATCTCAAAACCACTAGTCACTGTAGGGCTGCTGTTGCAAAAAGCTATAGGGCATTATGATCAATTCGTAGGTCTTTCCAGTATTTAGATGATGAAATGTTTAGATTACTATACTCGATTTGTGTGAGACCACATTTAGAATACGGGATTCAAGCAGCGTGTCCTTGTTTCAAGTATGAATCAGATATGCTAGAAAGAGTCCAACGACGAGCTACTAAGATGGTACAAGGTCTATCTGGCCTATCTTATGAAGGCAGACTGAGACACCTTAACTTATTTCCGTTATCTTACCGTAGAGTACGGGGTGATCTAATATTGGCCTATCGTATACTGAACGATGACCTTGGTATTAACATGTCTTATCTTTTGCTTCCATCTAGAACCGATCATTTGAGAGGACACTCGAAGAAAGTCCGAAAACCGAGATCAAACCGTTTACGTCTGGAGTTCCGTTTTTCGCACCGAGTAGTGAATTACTGGAATTCTCTACCGGAACACGTAATATCAGCACCGTCTATTAATATGTTAAAAACGAGGTTGGACCTCCACAGTATTACAAACTGCAAGGATTAATATAGGTCGATAGACCTCCTATCCTTATTACTGAAGACTGAAGAGTGACTAAGCTCATGGCGTGGTTCAGTTTGTGACTGTTAACCTTCTGACTGTCTGCTTGGAAGAATTGCTGCAATCCCTGAAGATAGATATTTGATCCCATATTGTTGGGAATATTTGTATTGATTCTCATGTATCAAACCCTTTAGTATTAACTGTCTTTTTCATTGTTTAACGCGCTACTTTGCGTTAGAGAAACTTCTGACTGTATAGTACAGGCTGATTCGTTTGAGGTATTTTGTATTTTTGATGTAATTTGTTCTGTTTTCCTAATTAGAACCGTTTATATTGAGCACAGAGTTTGTGTTTTGATATAATATAATACGAGTATCTCAGAGACGCGTTGTGAGCTATACAGAGGAACGTGGTCTGGTCTAATCAAATAAATTTTGGGTTCGTCAGTCCGTTGTTCCATCCGAATATTGGTTGTTCGGTCGCTACAAGGTATTTGGTGTTTCTAGTGTGAGATCCGAATTAGATTTAGGGATCCCGCTGCTAGGTTCGATGGGTCTAGCATTGGGTCTCGACTTATCAGTGAGGACAATGTCATCGACGTATGCTGGCTTAGGACAATCAATGGTGACTGCCTCGACGCGCCATGTCCACCAACCTTGAAGGTCATTTTGTGACGAGAAATCACGGGAAAAGTTCCTTCGTTGGGCTGTTGCAAAGGTTTGCGTACCGAATCTACTTGTATGCAGACATGTGAACAGGTGGATAACTCTCGAGGGGAAGTGACCTGTCGATGCTGTATTCGAGTTGACACCGAATGCGATGTTCGTATATATTCAGACAGTCGTTCAACGCAGTCTGATTTACCAAAATCGTTACTGCTCCGTGGCGTGAAAATCTCCCTAGGCAGACGCAATGTCGTGCCGTATACAATTTCAGCAGGAGAACATTGAATATCCACCTTTAAGCTTGTCCTGATACCTAAGACAATGAGCGGTAAGATTTCGTGCCAAATGTTGTTCTCGTGTGCTCGAAGAGTACTTTCAAGTTGGCGATGAAACCGTTCAAAAGTAGGTCACTGCACTTTCAGTCACAACCTCACATGTTGCTAATATATTGTTAGCAGGACTATGAAGTACTCATAGCTAAAGAGATTACATATCCTATTGTTTGTAACCAGTCACTCGAAGCCTCAATAAACTTTTATTCCTGACTAGTCAACCCTCTCACTTTGAACTCCTGATATCATTTTTTACCTTCACTTGAACACAATTCTGCATGCAGGCTTGCATATGGAAAGCGTAAACTGACCAAGTTTGCATTTTTTCACGCTCAACAGACACATTATACGTGGTATGTTTATGAACAATGTTTAAGAACCTTACGAAACAAAAAAGCCGTCATTAAACATGGAAACTTAACCAGTCAAAAGAGTTTAGGGGGGTCTTCCAGGACACTGGACTGGGAAGCGCCTCAGTGACAAATAGTAGAACAAGCGGGAGAGGTCATAGGCCAGAAAACTGGAGACTAAGGCCTCAATAAGAAACTTTTTATCGAGGTTTCCTCATCAAACTAAATCGGTTCTCGTTTCCCTTCAAATCAAGGCTACAAGTTCATCCTCTAATCTCATTCTGGGAATCATAAGAAGCCCAGAATCGAGGTTTGTTACGTCAAAGCAAAGCTTCGGTCGCCCTTGAACGTAAATACAGAATTCTGTGATACATTAACCCGTTTCCTCAACATTCAAAGTAACCGCAGACAACCTAGTACCACACAAAGAAGTTCGTCGCTCAAATATGTTTCTAGGTTGTGACAAATAATCATACTTGGTGTCCGATACGACCGTGCGTATGATATGTATTCTGGAAGTTGCAGAATAAACTGAAGTTTCTTTAACTCCAAACCTACTGTCACTAAACATATTCCAGAAAACTCCACCATAGGTGTCTGATGATGGGAACCATGGAGCGCTGATATGTTCCTCCTTTACACATCACGGATGTGACCTTAAAGGTTCGCTATCATGCCAACACTGACACGAAAGAGTTGTGATCATTCATGAGACTTGGTCATTAATCTAGGAGCAGCAAACCGTAATGCTTTGCGGCCTACGCCTGCAAGACTCGACTACGCGAAAACCCACTAGGCGGGAGTTTTCTTCACGAAATCCTAGCTCAGCTTGTGCCGCCTTCATTTTTATTATATCTTCTGGAGATATGTGGTCCGTAGAGAATGTGTGTGAAGTATTTAAATCCCAGAAATAATGCCATTTATACCAAAGAGAACTAAACGAACACAAACGAACGTGTTGAATTTGATGTTCGAAATTAGGGATATATCAAGTACAAAGAAATCATTAGTTCATGCCAACACCACAGAATGTTAGCTTAATCTTGACTTAGAACACTAGCTGACAAATCATATCATTTTCCTCCACTGCTAGGATCAATTTAAGAATTTTACATAACCCTGGTCCGACACTTCCTTCTGTCCTCTTATTCGATAGGATGCCACAAACAAATGCTCCGGCCTTTTCCAAATCATACGCTGGTCTAATTTTTGAGAGAAAGTCGCTTGATCACATTGAATTGCTCAAAATAATATTCGATGAGATCAAGGTTTTTCCAGCCACAATAGGGTGAAGTCTTAATTCGTGGAATTCGGCGCTGTTCGGGTGTCTACCAAGAACCTTATATCAAAACGGGCGCTGTTTCTGTCTATTTTTTCCCCTTCGTTTACGCAATGTCCTTTATTTCTCTTCATTCAAGACAGCCACATTTGCACTAAATGGAACAATCGAAACCCATAGTGAAAAGGATACTGAAAAGAAATAAAAACATTCTAACGATATATCATGCTACCTTTACCCCTGGTGATCTAAACATGCCACAGTACATACAGTACAAGACCAGACCTGCATACCACCACACTACAGAAAACAGTCCAGGAACAGTTGAACAAATAGTGAACCAAAAGGTTTTTGAAATGTAACTTCATCTCCCTCAATAAATTGCAAACGTTCATCATCAGAAATCTGGCAACCATTGTCAAGAGAAGTGTAAACAATTACACTAAGCGCCTAGTATGATGCGAGTGCTACGCAAGCAATAAGTGTCTTCTCAGTATGCATTTAAGAAGTAAAGTGGGGTATGTTTAACTTGTCAAGCAAATAGTTTCAAAGAAACACAAAAATAGTTGCCTTGTAACTCAAAGTCGATCTATAAGCAATAATAAAAGTGGTGATGTTTAAATTATGATTTGAAGGGGTTTTAGACACAAAATGCCATTGTTCTTTAACGGAAGTTATTTAATTGAAACAGGATAGTGTTCGTGTAAAGCAGCTTAATTAGCCTATTCTATACGGTTAATTTGGCTGTGGTGAGGTGTTCGATCAATGAGTAACAGAATCAAAGCACACAATATGTACTAACGGTTTAAACACTGAACAATGATGCAATCCCTCACATAGTCTATGACTGCAACCTAGATACGTACACATATGATAAATGAGTTTAAACTCTTGTAGGCCGGTCGGTAAGTTCTGACTTAGTATCGTGGTTGGCTTGCCAGTTACAATAGTCATGATTGAGGGATAGAATAACCCTACATGTTGACTGACGTAAACCTAAAAATCCATCAGATCGAGGAAAAATAACTCCACAAATCGGCGTATGTGAGAGTTTTTACAGTCAGTAGGTACAGTAGGCTGAAAATATATCATTGTGATAATAAGGACGACCACGACCTTATGGTCTTTAAATCGCCTATTTGTCAAAAACTAATTACTAGTAGACTAAGTTGTACTTTAATTACTTAGTCGTGCCAGATGGTGGTTAATATGTTACAAGCACTGTAACTATGGAATACATATCACTAGGTAATTTATTAGTTGTTTCGGCGAGACCATAACTTCGTCCATAAATATTAGTCTCACCGAGCCATTTTCTAGAATGAAACTGAGCTACGTAAACAAGGGGTTGCTAGCAAGAGCCTAGTAGCTTTTCAGACGCAGAGTTTTAAAACCATATGTTAGTGATAGCCAACTTGAGTCCTGGCACAAATCTTCGTTAGCCCGAATCCCCGTACCATATAATCATAACGAGATGTATAACAAACGAATGGTAATAATTGTAGTGATCGAGTGGACTCCAGCCAAGTAGTTTATATCTACCAGCATAACATAGACCAACCGTCAATGATTCCATGAATGGATGTCACTTTTTGGTTTGACCATCCCTGACACTATGCCAATCTACTTATACACCATCTAAGTGTGCGTCGAGGTAAACAGTGATTAAGCATAAGTGGCGTATTTTCCAACTGCTTCAGTCGATGATGATTCACAACCTTGTCAGTCAGTTTTTCATGTTTGTATAGTACCCTATGTGTAGCCGCCTCATTGTCACTCGGTCGTTGGACGATATGTGGACAATATTTTGAAGGGATCCGTGATCAGAAACGTGCTCCCCACTTATATCTTCTATTTTCATACAACACGCTTGCACACTTAACCCACAAGTGACTCAAGTTGACAAAAGCCAGCAGTATTTATTAATTTTGGTCATTTACTTTAACATCAAGCTATGTGATCCCGTTTCTGAACTATCTAGTACTGTTCATCTATCAGTTGTATGTAGTTACCGGCATAAATAGTTGGTTTTCAGGCCGTTAACATTATGAAATGGCCTTGTAGTTCATCTTTTCAAGAGTAATAACAATTACAAACGTTTGTTCAGTTTTCTAGTTTGTTAACTATTCAAATAAATGTTGGAAATAAACTGTTTCAAGCTTATCTCATCTTGAAGTGGTGCTATTATTTCTATGTTCTTTACATTTCAGATGGGATTTAAATGACTTCTGATGTACGAAATTTCTCTTGCTCAAACAACCCACAGAACCCCATTGCGTGAGTTCTTTCATACTCCAATTTTGATTTCTGACTACCTTCCATGCCCCGTCAATAAAATATGAGTTCATAGCTTTCTAAAATTTTCAACTCAACTTTTATGAAATATTTCTACCTTAATTTTGTCGATCAATCAAGCTTAATACTATAAGCATTTTAGACTAAAAGCAAACCGTATATTTTTGTCACAAGGATGTTGACGACTTCAGTAAAAACCACAAAATCGTCAAGCGCCTAGTTCATTCAAACCTACAATAGTGCTATGGAATGACTCACTAATTAAATACCTGACAAACTGAAACAAGTACTAGATGTTATTTGATTGTCAAAGTATTGTAAAGAAATCGTTCTGTTCACTATACAGTCCAATGAATATGCGAGTTTAGGTCATAATATCTTTATGTTAAAATGTTTACGGTACATCTATCCTATCCTCTTCAAAATACTCCTTATATTTGACATAAGATTTGTCTCATCTGCTCCCATTGTCCTAAACATGTGTGAATGTCATGAAAAGCCAGTTTCTTCAACCTCTCCGTCGTTTCCAAACTGGAATCGTGTGTTCAGATGGCTTTCCCGAATTCAGTTCATCAGCAGTCGTTTTGAAAGAATCAATAATTTCATAATTAACATCCTTGCACGTTCTAATTGTTGATGTGGTATCTTATAAGTTTCACCAATTTTCTGTTTGTATTGTTGCAGATTGACTTCTGAAGAGGTTAGTGGCAAAATTCCACGCATGTTTTAAAGGTTTCCGGTCTTCGTAAAATAATTGTGGTTTAAACTCTTATCCCAGTCACTAAAAGCCACTAACTTGAGTCAACTAACCATAAATTTTTCATATTACTCAAAAGCGTCGACTCACATTTATAATCATCACTTTATTGTTTTATCTAATTTGTTCAGTGTAGTGATTGAAATCGAAAACTGGTCATTCATTTGTAAATTCTGTTGATCAGAATCTAAAGTTAACAGTGATAGGGAAGGCAACATAATCTAATGCAAAACCATACCATTTTAGAATTCCTTGTCCGTTTTTGGTTTAGAAACCCTTAATGTTTGATAACCTCTTATTATGCTACTCAGAATAACCGTTAGTGGATGTAGTTTCATAGCCTCATCGACTATTTCTTGTTGTATAGAACTCTTCGCCTAAATTAGTTATTCAGGCACACATCAATAATCTTTTGACGATAACTGTGATTTAGTGCTCTCAGGCACCGTTTATCCTTTTCTTCGACTTCCGTTTTCCATAAGGAGCTTCCTAAGTGATATAGGTGGGTAGTTTCGAAGCAACCCTTTTATATTTATGGGAAGATTCTTCGACAATCCGTGAACGGCGACTCGACTCCTTAAGTAGGAAAAAAGATCAACTCGCTGATTAGTGTGCACCATTAATAGGGCAAGATAGGTACTAAAGATATATAGATGAGTACACATATCAACGTGTTTTCTCCATGGTTTAGATTGTACATTATCTTCTTTGAAACTTAACTGCTTGGTGAGAACAGATTGTTAGCTAATAACACATATACAGTTAATTCTTAGGTGTGTCAAAATACGTTTTTAGATATACACTGAACTAGAATATCAAATGATTCTGTAGCAGTGTCTGTCATTGAAAGGCACACCTCAGAAGTACATAAACCTTGTAAAGGCTCTTTACTCGAACACTACTAGTCGAGTTAGCTTATGGCGAACTGTCATCTGCTTTTCCAACCTCAAGTGGTGTCCGTCAAGGCTGTCCACTTTCTCCATTTTTGTTTTTCATCATAGACCTACTGATGGAAATAACATTCTCGTCGACTGAATTCTCGGGTATTGATCTCCTTCCAAGAGGTCCACTTATCGACTTAGAATACGCAGATTAAATAGTCCTGTTTGGTGAAGACCCTAATAAAATGCAGAGTCTTTTGGTAGCACTGAGCAACAATGCCAAAATGTTTGGAATGCGCTTCTCTCCCTCTAAATGCAAGTTGTTGCATCAGGACTGGTCTGCGTCAACACCTGAACTAAGGATAGGGAGTGAAGTAGTCGAACGCGTCGACAACTTAACTTATCTTGGAAGTCTGATCAGCCCTAATGGGTTGGTGTCTGACGATTACCACGATGTGCAATGCTGTATGGTGTTGTAGATGGTTGGAAGAAAGTGAGGGTGGTCAAACCAAAACGTGGCATCAGTGCTTGAAGTCACTAACTTCTAGTCTGAGCCATGTTGGGTGATGCAGACTACTTGGTTGGGATCCGCGTGAGTATTGAACCAATGGTTGGAGACTTGGTGACACGTCTCAGAATCGATCACAATGGCGTCGGTGTATCCACTCCCTGTCTTCCCTTAAACTAATAGATTAAAATCGCTTCATATCTTTCTTTCTACGAACTAATTCTTCCTTCCTGTACTATGTTCTTATATGTAATCTTTCTTTTATATATTACCACCATTGACTTAACCACTCTTATGAATTTGGTGTTCATCTTGCTTTGCTAATGCGGTATGGCAACTTGGACCGATGCATATATGTGCCTGGTCCTACGTTTTAGCTGACTGACTGACTGAGAATATCAAATACGATACCCTCAGAGTATCCGGCTAACAGGTTACTGAACATTTATTGCTGCATGTGTCTAAACATTGTATCTAATTCTACTTTCTATATTTGGGTGAACGTCAGTCTTTATACTGATTTTTACATTTTATGTTGCTAAATTATGTGCTCTAGAAATAATCGAACCAGCATACCTCCGGAGTTGAAAACGATTTCAAGATTAAATACAAGTGGCAACTCATTTGTATCCAGTACAGAAGATCAACTACGTACTCATCAACAAACCTTAGAACACTGGCTTTTGAATGCTGTGATCCATACATTTGCTAAATTCTCATCAAGTCATAAGGTAAATTTGTCTCCGTCTTATGTATTCTTTTTCCCAAAGCGAAAACGTTTATAATTCGTCCCTTGTAATGTGGAGGCGTGAAGGGTTATGAATGTCATTTTGGCAAAGTTTATTAACATCCAAATTTTGTTAGTTCTATGTTAGGCTGTCCTCCAGTTGCTTATTATTATTTATTTGAACACATAAATATTAGTACAAAAAGGCACCGAATGCATATGCGCCGCACAAGTAAATTGATTTGTGTGTGGATTGTGATACTACCCGGGTGCCCAAACCGAAGCAGGTGGTCTTCTTAGGGGGCCACATCCGGAGCCTTCGACCTAACGGTCTGATCCACAAGGCGATGTAGCAACATCAGGAGATGCAGTCCCATGGTAGCCAGTGACCAACAATTGGTTCATACACCATTTGTTCTCTCAGAGCCCATGTGCACCATCGATTTTGAATCAGGGTTTTCCAACTCCCATAGATAGATCCTCTCTACCTACCGACCCAGCTAAATCGCCGAAAATTCGCTCTTCGTCCTCTCAATTTCGTAAATAACACCCCCTCCACGAGAAGGTAGTGAGTAGGACTTCTCTGTCAGTGGCTGTATACGCGTGACCATGTGAGGGCATTTTGAGAGAGAGAGAGAGCTAACTCTTCCCACCCTCGGCCGTACCAGGGGGGCAATCTTAGATTTTTGTTATTTAAACAAGCAGTATACAATTTTCTATCTTATACAAACATGCTTCAGCTCATACCTCCTGTGTCTTACTACCTCACGAAAAGGGAGTTAAAGTAGAGAGACGTATTACAGCCAAGTAAAAGAAGGGTATGCAAACGATCAGTAGTGTATTGAACCATCCTACCATTAATTTATTAACACTTCTTTGACTCCATCCAAGAAACTTTCACGTCTTTGCACGAATACTTATCATCTCTAGTGGCAAATAATCCCAACGGTTGATGACAGTGAATACAAATGCATTTTACCCTCCTTTGTTGTTTCAATCCGTGTTCTCTATAGTTATATTGTGAATAGTTTTTTTGAAAAATGTTAATATTGCAAGACCACTCTTTTTATTGGTATTTGGTGGAAATGCTATGAATTGTTAAATGTTTTACACTTTTTTTTCACTTCGGCGCATTAATTTAAGGCTTATTTTTTATAGAGAGACGTGGTGATACCGTAGTCATGCATATATGTCACCGTGGTGTAACCTTTCATTGCCCAACTAGCCAAAAATATTTATCCAGTGCTCTGGGTACAAGGTTCTGATGAAATGGATTCTTGGTATTCTTGAAAGACCTTCATAGACTATTAAAACTATTATTCAGCTTCACAAAATATGTTAAAATCACAAGAGGATTTGAATGATACGAAAATTACAGTTGTTTGTTTTTCTCTTTAGATCGCTTCTAAATATCTGGTGTTACCTTTTAAGTTGTTCATGTTATGTACTGAGCCCTGTCAAATGCCACGACTTGGCACTATGCCAAATCAATGACGCATAAACCAGTACGAGCAGCCTAGAGTTAACTCTGAGTCCCTATTAGTTTTCCTCGCCAACCCTGCCGGTTTAAGCTCAGAACACAATCTCAGCTTCTACTGGATGAATCATGTATTTCAGACATACGCAGTTTATATGCAAGCAAATTAGACCACATTATACTATAAAACAGAAAATAAAAATTATACATGATCAAGCTAAGAGTGGCTGTGTGTGACAGACTGTAACTAATAAATTGGGAATAGCTTACGAATAGTAAGTCGTATAGTAGTAGTCATTATGTCAAATGGAAGCTTATAATAAAAGGAGTATGAATAAACATAATATAGTTACTTAATAGTTATGTAATAAGAATATATACAGAATAACAGTCCATAAATAATTCCTAGCAGTTACCATTCATTTATTCTCTGTCAGGATGTAACAGTTTGATTTGTTAATCTGTGAATATTTAGCTGCGCTTATATGATATCTAATACTGACATTTTATTTCTAAAGGCTGTTTTGACTCCGATCTTATTTTATTTTTCTTCTATACGACTAGGATTTGTTCTCAGCTCTTTTTTTAGAATGAAATGGTCTCAAATGTTTTCTGTCATTTGCTTTAGTTATTTTCAGTGTCCCTAACAGTTAGAGGCAGTCGCAGTAAATTTCTTATCTAGGTCATCAGCTTAATAACAATCTTCAGGGAGGCTTGCATGCAACTTTAAAGGAACTCGTACTCTCTTCTAAACTACGATACAAACCAGTCAGATGTGTTATTATCAAGCCATTTAAGCAACTGTTAATTTGTCGTAGGATTATATCAATCATACTAAAAATGTGACACAGTAAAGTCACTGAAGGTATGCTATCTAATCTTGTCGTTTCTCGTTCACTTTTTCTACACCCTTTCAAAAATAATACGTTTAGTCCTGTTTTAGCATCACAGTCATTCTCTCTTTGTAAACAGTTTGTTCGAATCGTGTAACATAATCACCACAAACTACCGAGATCATTATCTTCGTCTTCAATTGTGTTAGGAATTATCTAAATATCAATTTTAAATGTAATAATTCCACTAAGCTCTTAATTATGAATATTTAAGAAATCTTACAGGTAATTTCTATCAACAGTCATCTAGTTTCTTTTAGTTGTTACTTTTCAAAAAAACCATTGTATATATAAATGGATCATTGAAAAAATTATTGTATCATATGCATACTACTTGTCAGTAGCCTATGGTAGTAGTAGTTGAATACTGTTTCTCAAACTGTTTTCTGCAGTAAGCGCTCTCAAAGGGACATTAAAATAAAAAAAACATCTGGCGTCTTCTCATTTGTAGACTTATGGGAAATTCAAAACCTCCCTGACTTTGTTTACCCAGATTTACATGATATTAATCTAAACTCAACACTCTTTACAACCCTGTACTGTTAAAGGGTTCTTCTAAGAATATTTGATTTCTTGAGGTTCGTCATTGCATTTTAGGATATATATCATGAGGGGATTAAATGGCTGGAGCATTGTTACTCGGACACTTGTTCGGGTGATAACAAAGTGCTAGTTGAGTTTGCAGTATGAAGTGATATTTATTATATTTTTCGAATTTTCCCATTTTGGTTTATTTTTCCTCATGGATAAGCTTCCAAAGATAATTATTCTCCTCATGTATCTTTCATCCTCTTAGATTGTCTCAGCCATGTACTTCCGTTTCATAAGAATGATAATAGCGTAGAAAATGTTTCGAACATTTTGATTTGTGATCCAAAAGTAGTTGGAATACTTTTTCCATTTCCTTCCCAATTCAAATAATTCCCTTAATGTCGATCTGCTTTGAAGTCTAGTTTGGCGATTATTTAAATTGTGCTCAGTGTGTTAGGGGTTTTGATTGGTTGGTGGATAAAAGTATTAGTATCGTTTTGAAAACCTATGTAAAAATGCATAAGTAGCAAGTATTTAGTCATAACTATTTTCTAATCTCTGTTAATGTGTAGCGGGACCACAGACTGTGCTAGAACTTGGTTGTTACCCAAACATCACTCATTCAGTTCATAATTAACATTTATGTGTTTATTTTATATTTCATGTGATCTGGATTTATTGTCTTTGCAGGAAATTAAAAATTTTACACTTTCACTCTCGAAAGTAGCCGAAGGCCAACTGATCGGTTTATTTTCTGAGTATCTTTGTTATTGTCATATTAAGTTTGCTCTATAGGAAGGTAATCATAGTGGACAGTAGATCCATAAATTAAAGATATTTATTCGATTTTGTCATCTAGTTATTTACATTTACATACCTTGCGCTTATCTATTACACCAAACTTTATTTACTAATCATTAATACTTGACACATTATTGATTACTGAGCTAAATTTCTTTATTCATTATCCTGTTTCATATGTTAATGTATAGTTTAAATATTATTCCTTCCATAAATGAAACATTTATAAGACAACCATGTATCCAGGTGATTGATTTAACGGAATTTATTTAAAAAAACATTGGCTTGAATGATAAATGAAATTCCCTTCATTTTTAGCAAAAGTAATAATGGATTTACTAGGCAGAGTTCGCATCACCATATCGATGTTGACAATTTGAAATCAGATTGTCTCATAAGTTACAATATAATAGTGTTTCGTGTTAAATGACACGATGATAATATTTATGATGGCGAAAATTGATGTAAGGGTAAAAGTTTCATATGATTCTGTGACTGAAAATTGATCATAATCATAATTAGATGCTGTTGGGATTTATGCATCCATCTAAAATTATTTAGTCCATAGTAAAACTTACTGTAGGTACTGGTAATAAAATCTTTAATCTATTCTAGATTTGGTATGTACCAATCGTTAACATATAAATGTAAATCTGTTATCGGTGAATAATAGATAATGTTTTTTGTTAATAAATGAATAGCGTATAGTTATAAGCCGTTAACATTTGTTGTATCTGTCTAAATGTTATTCTTAATTAGAAATCAATACGTCAACCTCTTTACAGGAAAATAACTTATCGAAAAAAATAGTTGGAATTATTGCATCAACATGATTTTCCTAATGTAAAACATCATTTTGTAAGCGATAATCGAACATCAGTCAGTCAATGGTTTTGAGTGTTGTTAGAGGAATGAATGCGGTTATCACTCCCCGGTCGCCCACACCGTGGACGGGTTCTTCTGGAGGTACCTGAAAAGGAATTTGGATTAGAGGTGGTCTTAGTGACCTGGGAGCGTGACCGCAGTGCCCAAGGGACAACTGCTTGAGGTCGGTAATACACGATATTTTTGTGAGTAATTTTCGTGTTAGCTCCGTACTTGTTGATACATTACCGCCAGAGGCGGATATGCGTGGGATAAGGCGAGGTGTGCATTTTTAGGGTCGACCTTTTCTAACCCCACCCTTCTTTTCTGGGAAGGCAGCATCGCTGTTATGCTGGTTATTGGAAGGAAACACCTTACGGCGGTCACACCTCTGTACAGTCATCAGTACGACTTCGCCCTCGGATCTTGTGTTTACTGCTTTTAGTCTTACCACTCTTCAACCGACTTGTCTGACGTGGTAGGACCTTGAGGAACGATTGTTCCAGCCAGTATAGCTCGGTTGCTTCATCACGATAGGCAAGCCCGACCACCACTTAAAGGTAGCAGCAACGGTCGGGTTTAGAAGCTCTAAGTGATTTGGAGCGATATTGGTGATGACAGTATAAACGCATTGATTTTTGATCTTACTCTAACACTATATTATTCCATACTTTTCATTCTCAGATCTTTTTTTCTTTCATCGTTATTTCATATATTTTTTTCGTTTAGTAATGTGATATTATTAATGTCACTTCTACACCGTTCATAATATTGATTGACACTAATTTTTAGCAAATTAAACGGATTAACATATATACTATGTCCTGCATTGTTTATATTTGTTTTACTTAAAACACCATTTGCAAGATAATTTCACTATTTAATAAGCATTAGATGCATTGATTACCGAAAGTGACTGGTAATATAGTTTGTCCCTCTATCCGTGACATTTTTATTCTTGGTTTTTCTAAAGCTGTTATGAGCTTGAGTGGTATTGGACATTATAAGATGGTAGCTCCCAAATGCCCTGGTATGGCCGGGAGTGGGGTGGGCCCGCCCTCCCTCATGAAATGCTCTCACACGGCCACGCGTATACAGCCTCCGCCAAGAAACTCCTACTCATTGCCTTCTCGTGGCGGGGGTGTTGTCGACGAAAATGAGAGGACGAAAAGCGAATGTCCGGCGCTTTGACCGGATCCCAAACCAGTGGTGCACATGGGCTCCAGTATCTTTAGGGAACAAATGGCGTATGAACCAACCTTGGTCACCGGCTATCATGGGACTGCATCTCCTCACGATGCTCCACTGCCTTGTGGGTTAGACTTTTAAGTCAAAGGCTCACAGCCCACACACAAATATGATGAAATGCCGATATTTGTGGAAAATACTTGTCTTGCTTCGATTAACAATCAAACGATTCACATTATTATTTCTATTATTATTATTATTATTATTATTATTATTATTATTATTATTATTTACTACGTCATTTATTCACTCTGTTTTATTCCCACTTTATGTATTTTTATTTTTCGACTTATACAGCAACTCGTCTATGGTGGAAATTCGACTCTATCTAAACGTTCCCGGGTCACTGTCCGGTTGAAAATTGTATGTTACCACCGAATATGAGTACTGAAGCAGTTTTTCTGAAACCACGTGCACCATTCAACGTTCGCACACTTATGCAGGTTGGACAACAGATAGGGCTGGCTATGTCTTTGGAAAGTCTTCATATCGATGTCTGCTGTCTATCCGAGACCCGTATTCAAGACTCTGATGAAGTACTACAAATTCGCTCTACATCTGTCACTTCAAAAAGCTTGTTTTACGTGCGCTTATCCGGGGACCCTGTGGCATCTTCGTCTGGTCTTGCTGGCGTTGGTGTCGCACTAAGCGCTAGAGCTGAGGCAGCACTAGTCGATTGAATCCCCATTAACAGTCGATTATGTGCTGTTAGATTAGAAAGTTCCATCAAAGTGAGAAGAAATCGGCGTGAGAAACGATGTTTTTCGTCATTTCCGCCTATGCCCCGACAGATTGCAATCAAGAATGAATCCTACCACCAGTTAACTGTTCTTCTCCAGAAAGTGCGTTCGACAGATATTGTAGTACCAGCCAGAGACTTGAATGCTCAAGTCGGGCGTTTAGGCACAGAAGAGAGTCGTTTAGGTGGTCGATGGGGTCTTGTTGGCTGCAGGACAGATAACGGGGACCGTTTACTACACGTTTGCACAGACCACAACCTGTTTCTGGCTAGCACTAACATTCGGCACAGTCATCGCCGATGTGCCACCTGGCGTCCTGCCTCTGCATCTCAAGCCTGGACTCAGATTGATCACGTCGCGACCAGCTACCGCTGGCGTGGTTGTGTACACGTCGTGTTATGAAAGGAAGCTGCAAAGGGCTGGCTTGTGTTGGTCCTTCACGACTCCCTGGCTGGGCTCCGAGAGATGGTGCAACATAGTGGCTAGAGACGCTATCAGATATGACTCAGAATAGGTGCCAGTGGCGATCCTGCTGTAACCTTCTTTTTTTTTCTTCATAAAAAGTAGTTGTTTATTCCTTAACTGAAAGATTTCTTCTGGTTGTACCTTTCTGTTTCCCGCATTTTTATTATTATTACACTTCCTTACACTAATCTGGTCGTTATTGTTCCTCTTCTTTACGCTCCTTGCCTTCTTTTTTTCCCCCTATTCTCATTTTTTCGTGTGGCGCATATATATTTGGTGCCCCCTTGTACCAATATTTATGTGTTCAAATAAATAAATAGGATGGTTATCACTTTCCCGTTCCGTACACAGTGGATGGATACTTCTTTTTTGAGTGACCTATAAAAGACAATGGGTTATGGAGGTCTTGTTCACGTTGGAATGTGACTCCTTAATCGGAAAGACACTTGGCTAACATCAGTCATGAACGATTTTTTGAATGTTTTATCTTTTTAATTTCCAGATTTCACCTTGAGCACCGGAAATGTGTATGACAAGATTCGGTATAATACTTTTAAGTCCGATCTTTTCCAATCCATCCTGTTGTACAGAGGCAATATCTCTGGAGATGCTAAGTATCTTCAGAAAATACCCTGCCATCACATCTCGGTACATTTCCTAGCACGACTTAGACCTTAGAAATTAACGTAAAGTACACTGAAAGTATCTTTTATAAAATTACTCATTATCATATGGTTGTTTCTGTCTGTCTTTTGAACTTTCATCCTACCAGCAATGATTCATCGCCTTTTAATAGTTTTCTTAAGCCTATCACCATTCAATCTTCTACTGAAAAAAATTGTAGTGAAAACCCTAACTGTTAAGTACCAAAATTGTTTTTGTTTTATTATTAAAATAATTTTGTAGGTTAGTTTATATCTCGGTTAGTACTGTTACATTGTTTGTATCAGTAGGTTATTCAACTATTTTTTTCTTGCTTAGTTATTTTCTCATAGATTTTTCCAGTTTAAATTATTATTGAATTATGAGTGAAATGTATATATACTTTAATTCTTACTAAATTTCTTACAATTAAATTAAACTTATGTGTAAATGATTGGACCTCATAAGGCCATCTGAGTATTTGTGTGCTCTCCTGTGAAGTGGAAGGTTTTGTTTACGAGCGACTACATGTCAATTTCTTGTTTGTATTGATAATAGATTCTTCATACTAACACCTAATATATTTAAAGTAATCTATAATTATATGATTTAGTCACGATAGGAATCACATCTTAATTCTTCGTTAATACATGGGTAGTATTGTGTGGTACAAAAGTATTTGAGGTGGTTAGAGGTCGCTGACAGGAATCCCTTAACCTAGGTTTCGTGCTGTTCAGTACTCGTTGAAAAGGTGTTCCTGAAATCTTGAGGCAACTGACACTCCTCGACGAATTAAATCCTGCATTTAAGGACGTCAGCATTGAGGTGTTTAAGTCTCAATTCATTGACCTGTAAATAATAACCCACTGAATGCATTAATCTCCTTGCCGAAGAGCGCTAAATAGCATAAAACCTATGCTCAGGGTTTTCTGTCGGTTATCTCCAACTACCTAATATCTCAGTATAGTACATGCGGTGTCGAGCTATTTATGTTAATGGCCACTTTACAAGTTAGTCAATATAATTCGATTAGCACTTGGAAAGAACTGACATACATGATGCTGTTCATTGATCACTAAACAATCAGTCTAAATGTTTCTAGTATATTTGCTGCATTGTACTATTTGTCTAAATATATAATTTTGTTATTCGATAATAGTTCTTGTTAAAACGCTTCACTGTTGTTTGGGATTATTATCATAGAGTATTTAAGAGACTAAGTAGATTAATATCCTTTGTTAAGTCAGATGGGAAAATCGACTATACTTTTTACCATATTTTTAATTCTTAGATCATAGCCTTTTAGTTATTATCCTTTTCGTATTTATTATTCATGAAATTAACGTATAATTGTATTTCACTCTTGAGTAATGAAAAATTCACTTAATTTCATTGACTCTGTCTTTTCACCCTTTTTTTCAAAAAAATTGAACACATGGAATCTCAGTCATTGGAATTATTGACTAAATTTATTGGCCTTCCTACATCACTTGCTTGCGCACTGAGTTATTATATTCCAGAAAGTTTAAAAGCTTTATCAACTGACGGTAAATTAAATCAAGGTTAGTAATTCAATTATTATTCATTTTAATTGAATGAATTTATTTCATTAATAATTGCATTTATGTATTGAAAAATGAAATATTCATGTAATATTGTTACCATTAGTACAATTACATGTGAATTTAATTTGATTTTAACATCAATGTTTTTATCTTATGACTGAATGTTATTATTTGCATATCCATACATGTCATTCACTTACTAGTAATTGATATGATCCATGTTGATAAGGAATTCTTTGCATAACCTATTTTCACTTTAAATGAGTCCTTATAAAATAGGATATCGGAAAATACTCTCGATTGCTCTTGTAATGGTGATTGAAGAATTTAGTTCTAGATGATACTTTTGACACTTGCTTTTTTTTTAAAAAATGAGCTAGGAATTTTAGTAGGGCATTGGTTATGCACTTAAAGCACCGGACTTCGAATCATAGGTTCAATCTTTCTTCGTTTAATTCTTCTTCTACGACTGGTTTATGTGCGTCGTCTTCACACCTGAATTATGACTCATGGCTATATGCAGGACTATTTACTGGGTGAGGTACAGTATAGTTAAAAAGTAGGTTTTTTGCCTTGATTGATTTATGTCTTTCGCAGTTAGATTTTCAGAGTTCATCATAGACATGTTCCTCAAGTTGTTTGTATTTATGACTGTTCTCTTCCTTCGTTTCTCTTTTTCTCTCTTTAAAAAAATTTCAATTCACAGTTCTTGCATAATTTATCATCTGGTCCTGTTCTATATAACAATGCAAGCATGTTCGGGATGCAATTCTCACCCTCGAAATGCAAAATGTTGCTTCAAGATTGGGTTGCATTGACACCCGAACTAATGATAGGGAGTGAAGTAATTGAGCGTGTCGATCGATTAACTTATCTTTGAAGTCTCATCAGCCCTTATAGTCTGGTGTGTGACGAAATCTCAGCACGGATACAGAAGGCTCGACTAGCTTTTACCAACTTGCGTCATTTATGGCGTAGGCGAGATATCCGTCTATCAACCAAAGGACGTGTTTACTGCGCAGCAGTTCGTTCCGTCCTACTTTATGGCAGTGAAACATGGCCGGTAAGAATAGAGGATATTCGTAGGTTACTAGTATTTGATCATAGGTGTCTTCGAAACATTGCTCGTATATCATGGGACCATCGAGTAAGTAATGCAGTTGTTAGGAAACGGGTACTAGGTGAGGATGGCGAATCCATTGATGAAGTAGTGAAACTTCATCAGTTGAGATGGCTGGGACACGTGTTACATATGCCCAACGACTGACTGCCTCGACGTGCGATGTTCAGTGGTATAGGAGTATGTTGGAAGAAAGCTAGGGGCGGCCAGACCAAAACATGGCACAAGTTCATGAAGTCACTGAAAAGTGGACTGAGTCATGTTGGTAGGTGTAGACTACCTGGTTGGGGACCGCGAGATGATAGCAACCGATGGTTAGAGACCCTGAATGACATGGCTTTGAATCGACCACTGCATCTCTGTGCTAATGTGGTGTGGCGACTCGAACTGATGTACGTACGTACGAGGTTCTGCGTTGTTACTGAGTGACTGACTGTTCTGTATAACTAATATTTACCTAGTTTTTTAATTCATTTTATTTCTCAACATAATTTTTGTATAACTCTGTTCCTTGTTGGTTTCGTGTTAATATCTTAAGTTCTTATCATATGGTAATAATAACTTGCTAGTGGGAATGAAGATAAACGGAAGACACCCATTATGACATTAAATAAGAAAGAAAGATTAGATAGATAGATTTTTTTATATCGTATTTATTAGATGCTCTTACAAAGATATATGCAACGATAGTACAAGGTCTTCTACTAGATTATGTATATCCTAGTTACTTTCCATTACTCCAGACTTATATCCTCCGTATGCCTATCTGTCATTTATTCGTTCGAGTTTTATCTCATTTTATTTTACTTTACATAGGATGTGCAGCGAGCTCAGAAAAAAGGTTGCGTTAAGACTAAGTGGGAAATATGTTTGTTAGTAAATTCTTTGCATATCCCAGTGACCTAATCTAGCTTTATTGGCTGAAACATTCGCCTCTCTGAGTTCTCTGACGCCGTGCAGATCGTTTGGATAACGGTATGATTAAAAACAGCAAGATCCAAGGATCAAGTCGTATAGTTCACTGTACTGATGTATGGCGTCAGTAAGTTGTTTCCCTCAGATAATTAACGTCTGTAGGTATTCTATCTTCCTACAGCGTATAAAGAGGTTAGGAAAAGAGTGAGTGTAAAATAAGCCTACTTCACCTTGCCCCATTAATTTTTGTCCCAAGTAACTCATAAAAAACTACTCACCAGTGTACACGTGACCAGCCTCAAGTTGCCCCTTGAGCTCTGTGATTACTCTGCCTGGTCATCGAAACCACTATTAACCCAGTTCCTTTACCAGGTACCTCACGAATAAATATCACTGCATGCTGTTGGGATCTGAAAAGTGAAAACCATCTATTCACGTTTTACAGCATTTAAGATATCCTTTTTTCGCATCTATTTTAAAATGTAATTCAATTTTAGCGTATTTGTTGTGTTTGATTGAGTTATATAGGAAATCATTTAACCAGGATTCATGAAATGTGACTTCACCGCAATTACGACAAATGTTTAGACTTACTAGAAATTTAAAACAATCCACCTTGCCAATTAGTGATCGCCAGTCAGATGTTGGCAGTTCAAGAATCGACATCTGAATAATATTCATTCGTTTCACTTCATATTACCAGCCACCTCGATTTCTCTGGTTGTACTTTTGCAACTTGTACAGTGAAAAGTTGTAAGCTTTTCATAAACACCCCTGAATAGGTTATACGATTTATCGACATAATGAAGTGTTAAAACCAACAAAAACAAGTAATTCGTTGAAATATTTAGATGCCAGGAATAGGTAGCCCAGATACTCAAGGTTTTATTTAATTTTAATGAGCTCTTTCTTGTTTGATGCCTTACTGTTTAAGTGTAGCTTACATTGACGTTATTGAAGTTCACACATCTAGGTACTATTTCTAACCGTTTAATGATTTATAGTTACGGAATATTAAGTTTCATACATAATCTCGAGTTACTATCTGGGTACAGATAAAACAGAATAGCTGTATATATGAGTTTAAAAAATTGCGAGATCGATCTAGCTAACTGAATTTACCCTTTTACTTTATATCAGAATTTTTTCGATACATTAATGAAATGCAGCAATTAAGTTGGTATTATATCCTTGGAATCCACAAGATTTGAGTGTCGATTGCTATGGGAGCCTTTCAACCCACATGTAATAAAAAAATGTAGTAGCTAAACTGATTATTCTCACATATTGAACATTTATTTCATTCCACTCTACCAAACAGCTTAGATTTAATTACCTATAGGTTACTTAGTAGTTTTTAAAACTGCAGATTACTTACTCTGATGAGTACTATAAATGATAAAACCCCGATCGTTCCAAATTTCCAATCTAACATACAAATGATGAATTTTATATATAATCAATACTCATTTAATCCATTGTATTCTCTTTTCAGTTAACCGTAATCCTTCTCTCACCTATCTGTTTGTGTTCATTTTTCCTGTTGCTGTGGTTAAAGTCATTTTTTTGTGAATAAATAATTAGATTTTTGTCTATTTCATTCATTTACTAAAATTATTGATTTTGAGACAAAATGTTAGGGAAATCTCCATGGATTTTTTAGTCTGATTTTATTGATCAGTAAAGATTTAAATTACAATGAATTTTAGTTGTCAACTTTTTGTAATGCCTAGTTCATTTTTATGTCTTATAGAAATAACAACTGATCAATTGCTTACTGAATTATTTTTCTTTTCTAAGAATAAATAACCAATCAGTCTGTTTGTCTGTTTAAATCATGTCGTCTTTTCTTCCATATACAATTATCCAGACGTAATTTAAGAATGTCACGGGTTCGGATAAAGTTTAATGGAATGAAATTAGTTTCAGTGACATTGAATATTCAGTTTTCACGCCTCTATTGTTATGAAGTGATTTATACATTTTATAGGTGCATAAGAGAAAGATTACAACACAAATAAGTCATTATTTTCAATATGATTGCATCATTATGAACCAAGTTTGCAAGTGACTAGTTGTAACTTGATTTCTTCTACCTCACTGATATCTCAGTTGGTTGATTTACAGTTTCACTATTGGCATTTTCGTGTTTTTTAATTGGTTGTTTTGTTTGAATTTAGTACAGTTCCATTCATTGAGCTACATGGCTTCATTGTGAAGTCTTCGTTGTCCCTCTAAACAATGGTTCTGTGCTATCTATATATAAGTAACATATATAACTTTTTTGTCAAAATGGAGTTTGATTAAAACCACTAAACTATTACCACTACCAATAACTAGAATTTACTACTTCTAACTTATGCAAACTGATGATGCACAATTACAGTTTATATTTTATAAAATTCATAACCTAAACTGTTATGTCTGATTTTTGTGGTGCATCGTTATTTATCAGGTGACTTACTGTATGCCCAATGTCTAACTGGATCAATTATTAGGCCACTCAGAAATATTGCTTTTATTTCTATCCCAGATTCCTTCCCTTTTTTGGCTTCATCCCTCTGCATTTTGCTTCAAAGATAATTTTAAACTTATGGAAATTAAAGTTATCATACTTTTTATATTTCGTGATTACATGCTAAACCTTTATCAAGTGTTGTAAAGAAATGTGATTTATGGTTGATAACCTAATAGGGTTAAAAGAGATAAGAATTTAAATGATTGATTACTATCCATAACGTTTGTCAATATTCTTCCAAGAACTTAGATACTCGTAATATATTATGATTAGTAACTCATTGTCTCCTTGTCAACACCATTTTCTAATATACTAACTTTAAAAACCCTTACATTTTGTGTTTATATAAATTGATGATACACTTAGAATATGTCCATTTTGTTTTCTGGGAAAAACCGTTGATCAATCATATTGTAAAAACACCTCAAAAAAGCTACATCTTTAAATTGAGGTGTTATCACATTTTACAAATATTGCGTGTTTTTTCATGAAACAAACAAGACCCGTGTCTTGTACCTGATGTGACGGGGCAACAGTAAGTCTGATAGTTAAGTAATCATTCCATTTTTCCGAATGAATGACCTGTATTTTGTATATTCTCCAATCATTTATTAGTTTAAGGACTTTTAACTTTGTTTACTCTTATGTTCACCATTTTGCAAACATCTTAGTTTACTAAAAAAAAAACGTGGTCTACCGATTAGCATTCTCTTCTTTGGTCTCAAAGCATTTGGAGTCTTACGTCGATATTTCGGTCTTGCGATCAACTATTAATTGGCCACTTCATATTTTAGTATACTATAAATCGATCAACAATGAACTTATTCAGATAACAGTCCATAAACCAGCCCGTAAAATCTTCCTTTAAGTATTGTTTTGTATTATATCGTTCTCAGTTTCAACACAACGTTTTATCATCACTTATCGAGTCATAAAGAATATAGAAAGTTTATTGATCCACATTGATATTCCCCCTAGTAAGACTGTGAAAATGTAAATTAAATAATTGGAAACAATTTCTAGTTGTTTCTTTTAAAGGGAGAAACATGATAAAATTGTTTTGACTAATCATATATATTATAATTTTCAATCTTTACGTAATTTATGCACCTTGTTGTTTGATTTGCATTATTTTACGTTGGACTAGTTGTATTTCATAGTTTTTGGTGGATGCGACTTGTACAGAACAGTTTATCTTGTGCAGTAGAAATTAAATCATTAAATTATTGATTACATACAACTAATTTTGTGCCCTTAATGGTGTGTTACTTGACATTGCACTACCTGCCTATCAGTCATAAGATTAGTGTGATAATAAATTTTGTCTAAATCTCGTAAAAACTACCTATCTTTTTTGATGTCCCCAAATATTCAAACTCCGAACAAATCACATCGAGATACATTTTACTATGTTGTTTCAAGTATAAATAATGTGATTGAATCCTGACAATCATTTATTGTGTGGCTCTATTTGTGTATGAATTGTTTGTACTGTTTTTGACATGTACAATACATTACCATTTAGTAGTTCGATAATATACATTGATGTGTCTTTAAAATTGATTTTAAATTAATCTTTCTCTCGGAAAATATTGAAATCCTCGATGTCACATTTCATTGAGTATCGGTTTGAACTATTCGGCGTTAATGTTCTTGCAATGTTGTCCTGAATGACCCAGATTCTTATTCTTAAATCTCTTGGAAAGGTAATTTATGGAGCTTTCCGGACAACTAAGGGGAAAATGCTTATTTTTAAATCTTATGGTTTGTACTCAAACATTTAACTGCCTCTATGAATAGGTCCTCAATATTTCTTTTGTTTTAGCTATTTGACTTCTATTTAGTTATTTGTTCTTCACTTTGACACAAGTTTTAGATGATATTATTTAAGCCTCCGAATCTAAAGGTCTTTGGTTCAGTCCTCAAGCATGTTTATTGAACCTAGTGTTACGAAGTTAGAAACTGCGACAAACTAACTTCCTGGTTAATCTATAAATACTGTTGCCGAACAATTACCATATGTTAAATTTTTAAAACGCGTTTTGATCCTTCGTTTGTATTTGTCTGAAACAGATTTAATAAATACTTTGTTTTGTATACATCTAATTTCATATTTTCTCCTTTGACTTACACCAAATTATGTGCCGTATATTCAGTTCATGGTAATAATAATCTAATTGTTCCAAGTTTTTTATTTCTTATCTTACTGATATAAGTTTGTGTTTGTAGATAAATAATTTATATAGTTGGAGAACTGTAAAATGTTTTTAATATATCAACTAATTTATATCCTGTCACGGTAATATTGTGCAGAAATGTAATGAGAAGTTTAAGAGTTCTAAGTATGAAGCGATCATATAAACAATGAGCTTTATGTTATGTGTGAGAATAATTCATATAGACATCTTATGCGAACTCTTTGCAATCACTTTTTGAAGCATATTTTGTATAGTGTACAGTTTAAACCATCTTCAGGTAACATTGCTCAGCTTATTTATTCTGAATGTCCTTATTTATACTGAATGGCCTTCAAGTTTCTTTTCAGGTCAAATAAAATTTTTCTTTCTTTCCAAATTTCTCGGTTATTTTTCTTCATCTGTGTATAAATGTGTTTCAAATTCATCACTATAACTACTGTGCCAGGTATTCTCGTTCCAGTATAAGTTTAATAAATTCAAAGACTGATTGGTTAAGTAATTTCCAAGTTGTGGTAATTGATAGTCCATTTAAATTTTAAAAAATAGACCTACTTTGTTGGACAGTTATAATCAGATAGATTCCTCATAAATGATGGAGATTTGTAGCTTAGGTGAAAACTTTTGTTTGTATTGTATTTTCTGTGCTGGATGAATTGATTTAGGAGTTTTCCATTTCTCTCGCTTTCTAAATCATGTCCTAGTTTCCCTGGTTCAATTTATTAAAGGAGTGAAATGGTGTTTATTTCGTTCACTATATATTTTCACAATTTATAGCTCCTTATTTATTGAACATAACTAAATTAGTAATATTTCTATTCTGCACTACACTACTCCCATACTAACTGTTTCAATCGTCCTTTATTGTGTAATTATCATTTTAAAAAAATATTTATGCTATATATGATTGTGTTTATATTCCATAATCTGGCGGCATATCAATGTGTTACTATCTCGATAAATTGCTTTATACTTCTAATAATTGTTTGGTTCTTATTTGGACGCTGAAAATCTTTTTAATCTTCTGTTCATATTAACTACTTCATATTACATATATGCATATACATTTAATCAATATTTGTGTTGCATTTTTTTCTCATACCTTAAAAAAGGTATGAAAATCTTTGGTATACATCATTATTGTTAAATAATTGTGAATTTGAGATATTGTATGTGAATTACACATTTCAGTTTATTGGAAATTCATTATCTGAACCACTATTTCAAAATCTCTTTTTAATCAATGAATTCTCTATTTCTCTTCGAAATTGTATTGTTTCTGTGAGGTTATTCCTATCCGTTATATGTAATATATAAGTGCAATTGTGCTTAATTTGCAGTTAGTAAAGGGTAATCTTTTAGATTTTCCGCTTGTTAATCATAACAAAGAGACAACCCCTATAAATGTATAGATGAGTATTTTAAATTTTATTGTGCTAGTGATCTGCAATGTCGATGTAATCAGGAGTGTGCAATGCATGATTTATCATTGAGATTGAATGGCGATTATTTAGTAACAAATCGACTGGAGTTAAAATCATGAACTATTGGATGTTAGGTCTATCGTTTAAACTTATCGTGCTGCATGATATATAAAAATCTTAACTTGGGACCCATTATCTTCTGAGTTCCATTTGATTTTTTAAAATTATTTTCCAGCAATGAAAAACCTTTTTAACATCATATAAAATCCCATAAAGTAGTCGATTGAATATTTTGTTTTTTTTTTGGTATTTTTCATCTGTTCAATTTATTGAACGAGTCATTTTTGTTCAAATGTTTGACTTATGCACCGTGGTTCTTTTCGCGGATAGTGAATTAAAATGATCTTAACATCGAATGAAGTACTCCGACATTTAATGTATTGATTATATTTTACATCACTAATCCTCTGTTTTTTTCCTATTTCCACTGGTTTATTCAAATTCATTCACCATTTGACACAAACTTTTACCAATACACATGGATGTAGCTGACCTTGTACTTCAAAAATATAAAACTATACAGAACCTGTCTAAACCACAGTTATGTCATAAGATGCAAATTATTGTATATGAGTAACAAAAGATTTGAAATATAGACTAATTTTTTTATTGCAAATAATGAATATATACACTTGGCATTTCTTTGCTATCAATCAATTAAATGATAGGTATATGTCGTAGACCTAAACTCTTCATGTAAAATTTATGTGCTAAACGGAGTAGTCGGTTGGAATTTTACAACATAATACTTCATGCATCATTAAGTTACACAGTCTATATATTTTGTAGCTATTCCATGATTGAGAGCTGTTACTTTGTAGTTAATTAAATTTTCTCAATTAATTGTCTATTTTACTAAGTTTTTGGATTTTGTATTTTAAAAAAAAATTATAGTTTTCTTTTCCCGGAAAGTTTCAACATTGGACGTTAATGGTTAATTATTGTTTACGAATTCATTCAATTAAGTCAATAAATTTATTTTCAATAATAATTTAATTTTCTAACCTCCAACCTTTCAATTCCTTTGTAATAATCAATCTCATGTAATAAATAGTTCCTATATTATTGCAATTATTGTTTTTTTTCTTTACTTCTTCAAATTTATTCCTTCACACCATTGACCTTTTTTGTTTGTGATTCCCGTTGCATAAATCAATTATGTTTTTATTTATTTCTTTGTTCTTAAATCTATCAATCAGCTGATATAAATGAGGCAAAATACAAAACCAATAATTAGAACTATTGAGTATTTATGTGTATATATGTGTGTGTGTAAACATGCACACATTTAGTTGCGTGTATATGTACAATTGTGTTTCATAATTATTGAATTTTTTTTTTGAACGTCAGAACATGTTGATTCATGATATTTATTTATTTCCTCATTAACATAATTGTATTTTCTATATGTTTATCTCTTTTAATTAAGTTTACTTAGATCATTATTTATCATTGCTCAATTTATTGGAAACAAATACACTTAATATTGATACAATCAATTCTAATTTTCAACATGATCTATTCAAAGATGATATTGAAAATGTTCAATATATTCATAATTTAATTCAACAATTATTTAAAACAAATAAATTATTGGATGAATTCAATGCATTATTTACATCTATTACACAATTATTAAATCTTTATCTTAAAAAATCTTCAAATGAAAGAATTGGATTTGAAAAATATGATGATTTATGTCTTGTGATTAATATTTATCAATTGATTTATAACATATCTACTAATACTATTGTTACTAATAGTAGTCATTGTTATCATTCTAATTCAACTATCATCTCATCTAGTACTAGTGTCAACGTTGCTATTACTACTAGTGGATTAACATTAACAACAAATCCTATTCAAAGTGATATTGTGGAATCAAATTATAATTCAAAAATACAAAACGGTTAGTGAAGTAATTTATGTTCCTTTCTTGTTAAATATAATAATAATGATTATTATTGGTTGAATCTCATGTGATTGTAGCATAAGGCTTCGCTGTACTTTTTTAAAATGTTCTTGATAAACAGAGATGGATGGTTACTAGCAACGGAATTCAGGACGTGCGTTTCGTACTATTTGAGACTCAGCTGGATGTGTCTGAATCTTAGAGTCGATGTGTCTATCAGGATTTCGTAGCTAAGTAGATAATGCGATGGCATTAGGAGCGAACGGTACTAGGTTCGAGTCCTAGAGTGAACATTAACTCTGGGATGAAGCCGATGAGTCCTAAATAGGATGAAACGCTTGTTCTGGGTCCCACTGCTAACCACTATCCATCTCTGCTTATAATGCTTGTGACTTGGAATAATGTCGAGGCAATCCCCACAGGATGCATATATATCAATGAGAGATTAATAAATTTAAGTTCTAAACACCAATAGGAAGATTCAAATATACAATACGCAATGAATTCTTGATAAGGTTTTTTGAATGTGTTCGTTAAATGGAATGTTTTTTTTTTAGAAAATAGTTTTAGTTTTATTAAAGTTAAAATCAAATTGATGTGGTGATAAATCCATTTCGTCCATTGTCAACTATTCAACATTTTGACTTAGAGGTCTTCTGTTACCTAACTTTAAAATACATGAACTCTGTGTTCTGTGTAAATCACATGGTTTTTCACGCTCATATTTTCGTGCGTCCATGGAAAACTACTGAATTTTGTTGAGTGATTCAATAAAATTGTTCTACTTGTATAATTTGTAAAATTCTGATATGTATGAGCTCAATTATTTTGTTCAGCGAACTTTATTATTATCAACATTCCAAGATTATTTGAACAATGACATTATGTATAGAATTTTTTGTCTCTCTTGCAAAGACCTTTCTGTTTTCTCGTTCACTACACGCTTATCTGAGAATTGTTGAAATGTTGCAGTATTACTGTTGCTCTGTTATCCAATAGTTATTAGCTCAGCACTTGTTTAAACACAGATACTGATTTTGTATAACTACTATCACAGCGGTCATATTACTCGCATTCAGATTTGTATTTTCTAGTAAGAAAGGTTGACAACTAAATGAACTGGAGTAAAAAGCTAACAGAAAGTAATAAAATGAGTGCACCAAGAGTGTTTTTCGTGTGTAATGAATCCAAGCTTCTGATGTTCTTTAGATTCTAAACTGCAAACTATAGATTTTAACCAGATAGCATTTACTTGAACATATGGGTTGTTAAATAAATGAATGGTTTGTAAATAATCACTATACGTTTATATAATAATCGGTTTGATGTCTCTTGATTCTAATTTTGATACCAGGTAAAGTAATACACTTAACCTAATCGAACATCCCTGTAATCTAACGTTTTCTGACAGTTGTTTTTTTATCAGCAAACGTTAGTTTATGTTGAGCATCTGTAAAAACTGTAAAAGTTAATCATAAAAAATAATTTAAACTCTACATTGAAATTAATACTTCTTGATGCGTTCAATGGTATAAATTTCGCGCCAACTATGCATAGAGTAGTTCTAGAAAATTGGCAATAATTTGTGTTGTCCGTATATACACCTCTTATAAAACTTGAAAATAACTAGGAAGTTCAGGCACATTTATACTCTTGTTACAGTGACATGTAAGTAATAGTGTTGTACATCATTATATTTTTGCCGTAGTTAGAAATATAATTCAGTCTGTAACTGTCACGAACTCAGGATAATTTCTACACATCAAATCCTCTCTCACACTTACTAATACTGATACTATATGAAGAAATCTCAGTTTGGTAAGAGGTTATTAATAAATATTCATTTCTCCAGTGAACTTCGGATACCGAGGTAATATATATATATATATATATATATATATATATATTTCAGAGCTTCCCTTTCATATAAATCATTAACCACACTAAATGTAAAAACATTATAGTACATTTCATTGGTACAACTATTTTATTTCTTGTCGATAAATACGGATCGATATAACAAGAAATAGGTATTAGACAAAAAGATACCTTCTTTCCACGCACTCATTATTCCTCTTGATTAATAATAACATTATATATATATAATATATTCAGCATGACTAAAATTTTGCAACCAAAAAAATCAAGCCATTCATCTAAAAAACCACGATAAATCATTTACATTGTTAATCACTGCTAAAAATAAGAGTCTATTCATCAGTCGATAAATTGAATGATATCAAGAAATAAAAAGTAGATTGGGTGTCGAAATATGTACATGTATGAGGGGAGGTTGTTTACATAACGATGTCTATGAATTATCTGTGAAAATAACAAGATGATCTTCTACTTACACTTATTTAAAATATTCAGCAATCCGGTTATAAACAGTTATATCTATTCATAGTTTAAATCACGAATTTATTTATTTATTTGAACACAAACCTTGGTATAAGGAGGCACCAAATATATACGCGCCACACTTCATTCGATTTGTGTGAGGGCTGAAATTCTATCCGGACACCCAAACCGAATCGAGTGGTTCTCTTAGGCGAATACTGCCCGAGCCTTTGACCTAGAGGTCTAATCCACAAGGTAATGGAGCAACGTTAGGAGATGTAGTCCCATAGTAGCCCTTAACTAACAATAACTTCATACTCCATTTGTTCCCTCGCGATCGTGAAGTCCATTTGCTCCGTTGGTTTAGAATCAGGGTTTTCCAACTCTCCTAGATGGACCCTCCATATCCGCCGACCTGGTTAAAGTGCCGGACATTCACTTTTGTTCCTCTCAATTTCGTAAATAACACCCCTGTCACGAGAACGCAGTGAGTAGGACTTCCTTGACAGTGTCTGTATATGCGTGGCCATGTGAGAGGATTTCCAGAGAGCTGCCTCTCTGTACCCTTGACCGTACTAGGGCGATCGTGAGCTCATCTCCGGTAGACTACCATTAAAATCCTGCACACACTGGATAGCCCTCTCGTCCTTGTGCGGCATTTCTCAACAGTACATACCAACGAATCGGATTCTGAGAATTGAACAAATAGCTTCTGGTCTCGCGCGAACGCTTAACCTCAAGATCATTAAGCCGGTATCTAACGGTATTAATGTCCAATTTCAATCAATCGGCAATACTGTATGACCTTCATCTATCGTCTCTATCTGTTATAATAAAAATTTATTTATTCTGAAAATAATAATTAACGAATTCACGCCAGTTTACAGGCATGATCAATTTGATATAAATAGTAACATTAGATGTAGAGAACAAACATGTGATAGAAGAATGATTTAAGTATATTAGTTCAGTAGTTGCTTAAGTAGTACATGTATTACAACGATCCAATGCATCAGCCGGGAGTTTTTAATATTTCTTAAATGGACAGCCTGTTGATTTATGAATGGATTAATTAAGGTCATTTCGTGTGCCAGATCGAATTAATGATAATTATCCACAACTAGAGAAATTAAAACGAAAGCAGAGCACGGAACAACAAAGCAGTAATTACCAAAATATGTCAATCAGGTCTACCAAAATGCATGTGTCATGTGACACAGTGATATACTGTTGATGTTATTCAAATTAGTTAAACTTGCTGGGGACGGTGTTAACATAAAGTGACAGCAAGTAGGTGGTTTTACTTAAGGAATGCACTAATAAAAATGGCTAAACATTTAAAGTTCCTATAATATCACTTGTGGAATGAGATACACTTACAGGTCTAGACCATTCAATGCATTTTCAGAGGAGCAGTATGCATCGATGCAGCGAACAAATAATAGGAGTGATTCTATCGTACGGATAGATTGTGGTAGGTCATTCCAGAGTATAGAAAATTTACAGGTAATACCATTGATATAAAGAGATGATTTAGAATAAGTTTTTTTCACTAGTGTCAAGGAATTACGGATGTCACAATGAGAAGTTTCTGCATATTGAATCACGTGATTGGATGTAAAGGATAGTTTATTAAGTAGTTTGAAGAAAAAGATAAGATTTAGTTTGAGTCACCTCTTCCATAAAGGGTCTAGCCCAAGTTTATTACATCTAGAATTATAAGTTAAGGTACAATCAGCTCCAAGAATATGAAGTGTAAATCGTCTCTGTACTGATTCCAGCCTTAATTTATCCTTTATGCGCGCACTGCTAAGGATAAACGTGCAATATTCTACAAGTGGTCGAACAAAAACTTTGTACATTAAAATACGTGACCCATTGTTATGAAGGTTTCGAGTTATGTAACCTACAAGACGTTGAGACTTAGAGGTCTGTTTCAATATCTGTTCTGTAAACGACAAGTCTTGAGAGTACCTAAGTCTACTACTGTATGAAACCTAGATAACACTTCTCCATTTATGGTAAGGTCTAGGTTGAGTGATGTATCGCCGAAGCATGTCCATCCACATTTATCCGTATTGAGCTCCAGTTGTCGTTTCAAGCACCACTGTGCTACCTTGTTAAGCTACATGCTGATGCAATTTTGCATATTTTTCAGCTCATGTGGAGAAAATGAATATACTACTTTAAGATCATCTACATATAGAAGAGGCTTACCCACACAAAAACTTTCACAAATATCATTGATAAACACCAAAAAGAACCTTGTATTACACCACTTCTAACAAGGAGAGCGTTAGACAACGAAGAGTTAATTTTAACCACTTGATATCGATTGCTGTAATACATGTACTACTTAAGCAACTACTGAACTAATATACTTAAATCATTCTTCTATCACATGTTTGTTCTCTACATCTAATGTTACTATTTATATCAAATTGATCATGCCTGTAAACTGGCGTGAATTCTTTAATTATTATTTTCAGAATACATTAATTATTATTATTATTATAATTATTATTATTATGTTAATGGTTGCCGAGACGTCATCATTACATGACTTACAACTACCGGTGCTCCAGGTAATCCCAGGATAATTGAAATTCTCAGTGATAACCTGAGCATCAAAGTTTAGAGCAGTTGCATGTATGAAT